GAGAAACAGAGAATAAGAGTTTGTGTTTGTGCGTATGTAACATTTCAAGATATAAGTTTTGTTTCCAATATCGAAATAAAATGTATTTTAGCCTTTCCCAGTCAGTCAGTATGTTAAATGTGGTGATTAACATACAAACACTATCCATCTTGAGCGATAGATTCTATTTCTCCATTATCATCAATTTTAATAGAGAAATTAAATGTTTTAACGCAATTTTTTTGCTGCTCACAACATTTCCATGCTGAGGATGCCGCAAGTTCCATAAAGCACTCAACGGACCTCATTCATTTATTTTTATCATATTTTTCATTTTCATTCTTTCACATCAACTCAATTTATTATTCAAGATGATGTTGATGGTTGTGTGAAAGGAATCGATGGGTGGCATATATTGATCAAGAGCTACCACCATTACACATCCATAAGTGCTTCTTGCTTTCTTTGCTGATGCGGAGAAATTTTTTTGCTAGCATATTTTTTGATCATCAGTGGCAGTTGTTTGATGGATTTATGGGTGGTCAATTGAAATGATGGGATTCGATTTGAAAGTTAAGATTTGCAGATCTACAACAGTAGCTAAAAATTTCGAATTCAAAAAAGCCGTTAAAAATTCAATATTATTCCCATTGATAGAACTCACACGAGGCGCACGCATGGAATTTTCTCGAATAATCTCAAGTTTCACATCAAATTAATGTAAGAAAAATGGAAAATTTCCACTTAAGAACATAGTCAAATAGTGATATATATAATTTTAATAAGCTGTTCTATGTGTATTTGTGAATGGAACTCATCACCATTTGGCAATATCATTTTCTATTTGACTCACTTTACACGCGTTCTTAGCACACTATATTGTATTTTAGTGTGTCGATCCTCATCTTAATATTTATTAATAGCCATTATAAAAAACATCTGGAGTGCAGTCAACAGCCAAGGAAAAAAAAAATTTCTCTTAATATAAACAAAAAGTTTATCTTAATTTTGCTGCTGCTGTTATTGATGCACTTTTACATTTCTTATTTTTTTGCTGTTTTTAATTTCATTTCTGCCTGCCAGTATCGCTGATAAATTTCCTTCTGCCACTTCCTTTCAACATTTATAAACATTTACACAAATACACATTTAAGCCTTTAAAAAATCAATGAACGTCAAGATGCAACTAAAAATATCAAGAGAAGAAAATTGCAGTTGCAACTTGTGGAAAATTATTGCACTGCAAAGCGTCATAAATTTTGTGATTATAACAAGGCGGGGATGTGAATGAGAAGGAATAGTGTGCAGTCTTTTTGTGTATAAGCACACAGAGAGCTTGAAGATGCACATTTGTAGATAATTTTGCGTTTTATTTTTAGACTTTATCATGCACTTACAATCGGCACTAAAGTAAAATGCTGTGCACACATATTTCTCCTATATCCTCCATCTTACTCACTCTATAATATCTCTGTCGTCTAATAAAAGTGCAATGAAAAACTTTATAATATGGACTCGATTACTAAAGTTTAATGTGGTGACAGTTTAGTTGGAGTGGGCGGCAAATTGATTAATTTACGATCATTAATTGTTTTATTCATGTAAGTCTGCCATTCCACCAAATGTGATCAATTAATTTTGTTATTTTCGAACGCCACTAATCCTGATTTTTATCATTTCTACGATTTTAACTTGTTTTAGTCGCAATTCAAATGGTTTACTTGACTTAGAAAGTTGGACTTTGAATTGTGTTGCTAGTGATCTTACCAAGCAAGCGCATTTTGTTCACAACGGATTTTAGAAATTTGAATTACTCACAATTTTTAAGAAAAAAACTTACAAAATTTAAATTCTTAATGGCGGTTAATTGTTGAGTTTGTTTACGACATACTTGTTTCATAAATCATTTTTTAATCAGTTATAATGCCACAGGCAACACTTTGTCAAACTGACCCACACCTCTGCAATGCTGATCTAAGGAAAATGCACTGAAAATGAAAGCATGCCACAAGAGTATTAAGTGACAAACGTTTAGTATTTAAACATAAAGTAAGATTAAGAATAATTAATTAAATTGTTCAAGCTTCGATGTGAAAAGGAAGTTTGCAGAAAAGAAAACCTTCAGGCATTCTTATTAACTCATTTAAATTTTTATGCAGCAATAATTTGATATCATTGCTTAATAAGGTGGCAAAAAACAGCATTAAACTTCAATTTGAATCCAAATTAAATAAAATACGAAACTTTAAAAGCCTCTGCATGTAATAACAAACTTTCAGGTGTGTCGAAAAATTATTGGAACATAAAAATAATTTTTTCATCACTTCATTGTTGTCCATATTAGCCAAAAATTGTCACGCTGCTTATTAGCTTTTCAACACGATAAATTTTAATTAGCTTTTTTTCCTCTTGTGTCTCATCTCAGCTGTAATTCTTGTTGCTGTGCTGTTTCCGATAATCTACTGATATATTTTTATCTCACTCTTGCTGTTTTCTCTTTAGCGGATGAATGAAAAATACCTATCAGGCTTTTAACATGCCAAAAATAAATCACATCATACACATGATGTATTTTGTAGATTTTTCATCATTTTCATTTTTCTTTCGCTTTTGAAAAAAAAAAAATGATGAAAATCGTGAAATTAAAAAGAATCATGAGAGGTTTCTTGTTATACGAAGTATGGTATGACAAGAAGATGAAAAGATGGAAATATGAAAATCATTTTCAAACATTAAATGGCAGCAGAGAGACATTTCGCAACAATTCTTAAAGTGCCTATCAGAAACTGAGTAGAAAAGACTGTAGTTTTGAGAAACTGTTGGAAAGCATAAGCTAGTAGGGACGGTAGATTCAAATTAGTGTATCAGCTGAATAACTGCAATTCAGCTAAGCTGAATAATCTTAATTCTGCTAAGCTGAATAATCTAAATTCAGCTGAATAACTGCAATTCAGCTAAACTGAACAATCTGAATTCAGCTCAGCTGAATAGTCTTTATTTAAACTCAATTCAGCTTTATAACTTCAATTTAGCACGGTCAAAATGACAACACATCTAAAGACTTATCAAGTATCCAAAACCCTAAAGTACCCTTCAGCATGCATGCGCTTCGTAAAGAAAATCGTCTATCACATTTTTGTTTTCATTAAATTGATGATGAAATGCGATTTTTCATCTTTTTTTTTTTTTTGAGGAACCACACGCGAGATTTTCTTAAAAGATAATGAAAGAAAAATATTGCGATGAAGAAAAAGCTGAAAAACTAATTACTGAGATGTCAAAAAAGACTTTATTTGATATTTTGCTGCTAATCTAATCACTCACTGCGGCAGAAGATGACGATGATGATAACCACTCGAGATGTGTGTAAATTAAACACTTTTTTTTGACGTCAATGTGCTCATCTTCAATGATTTTTCAATGATACTAAAATGTGTTAAGTTCATTAGCTTCACAATATGTATTTTATTGATGCTTCATTTCATTTCCATACGGAAATATTCGAAATTTATAGTTTTAATGAATTACAAGAAATATGAATTATCATTTCTCTTTAACTCACACAATTCGCGCATGCATGAGAAAATAATCAACAGAAATATCGAACAGATATTGCTAAATTTAAATAAAATGAAATGCTATCCGCCCGCCTGCTTGACTAGCTAAAGTAAGTTCTATAATTATCAGCCGCATTGCAAATGTTGTTTCATATCACGACATTGGGTGAGTCATTAGGAAAACCTACACACAAGTCATAGTAAAAAGGAAAAAGAAATGACTATAAGACGTCTATTGCCTCATTTCATTGATACTAAGTTATACACTTATAATCAACTCTAAACCCTAACAGACAAAGAGCATGGTCTTGATCAAGAGTACGGTTGAGAATACGCTTTTTTAACATCTTCTCAAGATCACAGTATAGAGCATGTTCAATAGCATACTCAATCATACTCTAGTTTTGAAAACTTGCATGCAAGTTAATTTGCTTCATGATCTTTTATATACTCTCAAGAGCGTGATCGGAAGAATACATGAAAAACATGCTTAATAGCATACTCATAAAGTCATGTTCTATGAAACCTGGTTCTGAGCATGTACTTTTATATACTCTGTTGATCACACTCTTGTCCATAATCTACTAAGCATGGTTTCCAACCAACTCACTCGATGATAGTCTTAAGATGATGCTTCTGAGCATGTACATTTATATACTCTATTAAACCTGCTCTCGTCCATAATCTACTAAGCATGGTTTCCAACCAATTAATTCGATGCTACTCTTAAGATGATGCTTCTGAGCATGTGCATTTATATACTCTATTAAACCTAAGCTTTAAAAACAAATGTCAAATCATTATTATCTCCTTATTTAAGAGACTTGACGTTCAAAATGAATGTCAAGTCATGATTTTCTCCTTATTTAAGAGACTTGACGTTCAAAATGAATGTTGCTTCATGATTTTCTCCTTATTTAAGAGACTTGACGTTCAAAATGAATGTCATGTCATGATTTTCTTCTTATTTAAGAGACTTGACGTTCAAAATGAATGTCAAGTCATGATTTTCTTCTTATTTAAGAGACTTGACGTTCAAAATGAATGTCAAGTCACGATTTTCTTCTTATTTAAGAGACTTGACGTTCAAAATGAATGTCAAGTCATGATTTTCTCTTTATTTAAGAGACTTGACGTTCGATTTTGTATGTCAAGCATAAAATTTCATCATTTTATGAGACTTGACATTCGATTTTGTATGTCAACTGTTAAAATTTTATCATTTTTTGAGACTTGACATTCGATTTTGTATGCCAAGCATAAAATTTCATCATTTTATGAGACTTGACATTCGATTTTGTATGCCAAGCATAAAATTTCATCATTTAACAAGACTTGACATTCGATTTTGTATGTCAAGAATAAAATTTTATTTCGGTCGAATATTTTTTAGTATAAAAGAAAAGTTTCACTTAATTTTTCTTCATTCGCATTTCATACCTCAAAGAGTAAACATCTAAAATAATGGCTGGAAAAAATTCTAAAAAGAAAAGTGATCAAGTCGTGCAGAATAGGCCATTCTTGTGCGCAAGCTTTGATGATGGCTTGATGATGGTTGTTCACACAACATGGATAAAAGAACAGTTCAATGAGTCGCGCTATGAGGTGTACTATCCAAAAAAAAATGCTTCATCCCTTGTATCAAAGAACATTCCGAAGGAAAATATCATTCTTTGGGACTCCAAGCCAGTGATTATAGAATGTTCTCATGGTATGTTTTTAAAATTTTGTTATTTTTAATAACATTTAATAATTTTTTATGAATTTATCCTCAATTTAGAAACTATGATTCAGGCTCGATGTCACCAGAAGGAACTTTCTGCTTCTGATGATGAAAGTAAGAAGCGTATCAAAGTACGCAAGGACCCACTGCTTCAAGATTTAGAGAATGTAATTAAGATCTACAACTTTTTCATTTGTTAATCATACTACTAAATTCAAATTTTCTTTTAGACTGTTCGAGATCAAACCGATGGAGATGCATCAAAGCAAGTACAAAATGCAATGTCTGTGATTGAGGAAACTGTGGCTGAGGAAACTGTGGCTGAGGAAACTGTGGTTGAGGAAAATTCAAGTGAGCGAATCGATCAGCTTATTGAAGGTGCGGTGACTGTTGACGATTTGAAGATAATTTTGAAATCAATGAATGGCCAATTGAAACGTAAGAATGAAGACTCTCCAACAAATGATGGTAATAAAAAGAGCAGAACCAATCCCATTGAAAAGAAAATTGCATCGATCGAGGACTTCAATATGTTCTTAATAAAAGCCACCGAATCACAGGAATATAAGGAAAATCTCGTAAGTTTCTAGTTATATACAAATATTCATTAAGTAATGTATTAATTTATTCTTTACTTTAAACAGGTTCGTTATTGGAAAAAAATGCCGGGAACTGAAGGCATGACAAAGTTTGGCAATGGAAAGCTTCATGCCATTTTATTATCAATCTTTGATTTACAGTTTTTGAACGATTCGGTTTTATGGGGAAAATTATGTGTAAAGGAGGATGCTGCAGGAGACAAAAAGCTGTATCTGAAAGTCCATGGAATATTTTTGGAAATGTTGAAAGATGTCCTTAATCTCGATGATGGAAATCCCACAAAAACTTTGGGAGACTTTATTAAAAACATCCTTAATAACAAGATTAAGCGTGACATGAAAGCTATCCTTAAGAATTCGAAAAAGAATTAAATGTAGAAAACTGTTAAAAGTAGTTTTATTGAAAGAATAAATCAGAGAAAATAATAAAGAACATTTTAAATTTATGAAATATTAATATTTTTTTCATTTTTTGTCATTTATTTCAGGATTTGAATTTGAATCATTTGATATGAATTAATATATCTTTAAAATACGCTCAGAAGCATAATCGCTTAAGTATGTTTTGTAAACATGATCTTTAGATCATGCTTAGTAATATATTCATTAGAGTATGCTTTAGAGTGTACTCCAATTACTATGATCTTTAAAATATGCTCAGAAGCATAATCGCTTAAGTATGTTTTTGTAAACATGATCTTTAAAACATGATCAGCAGAACATGCTCTTGATCATGCTCTCAAGTTCAACTTGCATGAAAACTTGCAAGTAAAAAAAGCGTACTCTTGAGAGCGTGATTTTTATGGTACCGTACTGCGATCTCCATTTATATGGGAGAGTACGCTAATTTAGCGTCATCAAATTAAATAATTGATTTTTAAAAAGCATGTTCAGAGCGTGCTCTTTGTCTGTTAGGGAAATATGCTTCATAAATTGCAATTAACAAGAATATGAAAATATACACAAACCGCAACAGAATATGTAAATTATCAAAATGATAATATGTGTGTGGCTTGCTGTTGCTGTATTACTTTTCTCCTAAAAACATATATATCGAGTGATAGGCATACGGTGAGAGAAGAAAAGAGAATTGAAAAAAAAAGTCAATAATTTCCAAGAAGTCATTATTAATCACGCGCATATTCGCATCAGCTGTGAGCAAACGACCCAATGATTAACCTAAATTTTTTTCCTACCCATTTTCGTTTTCGTTAGATATTACATCATGAGGGGAAATGAATAGTTTTACGTATGCTGGATTGCCGATATGAAAATTTTTTACATTTTGAACCGCATAAAGTTCAATTACTTATTATTATTTTTCCTACTCTATCATTCATCTTGCATCTCGGATATCTTCGAGGTGAATTATGAATGCAGAGTGTTTCTGTGGATTGCGTTTCTCGCACTACCGCCATAGCCGTTTTTTAAAAGGGCATCAATCAAACGCAGCTGTAATCAATCATAATTTTTTTTTGGTGGCTCTCTAATGACCTCCGTTGCTCTATCATTAGCTAGCTATTTTTTTTTTCTCAAAAATAGCTTACAAAATACCTTGTTACCTCCAAAATTAGATGCCGCGATCTCTCATGACATAAATTTTATTTCTTTAATTTTAATTGAAATACAAAAGAGTTGTGAATATTTAATGCGGACTGTTTGTTTATGATTTGGGATCCTTTAAAGGTCTTATCATCTTCTGGAAAAAGGCATTTACTGACAAAATAATGATGTGGATATAAAACTCGCTATAAAGATTTAAAATGTAAAGAATTAATTGATGGGACCCAAAAATACTTTTGTGAAGTTTGATTGATTTTTTTGCTGCCCTGAGTTGTTGTGTAGATAAAGAGCTGTATTGAAAAATGGAGATCAAACCTGATTTCTGAAATGAACTATATTTTACATAAATTGACCTGAATTAGTCTTTGATCATCAATATTCATCCAGATGCCTCGAAAGCAAAGTTGCAATCCCCAGAAAACATAAAAAAATATTCAAGCTCACTCAACCGTCATTAGCAATTTTTTCCCCATATCTGCTTATACCCATAAAAAGAATTCTCAAGAAATTTCAGGCAAAAATCATCATCATTTCATGTATATGACACAGAGCAGAGCTCATGAGAAGCTAGTGGACGATAAAGATATAAATATTTCCTAGAATCAGACCCGACATGTATTAATCAGCGAGTGATCTTACACTCGAGACTTAATTCTTAAAAATACAGCACACAATTATCGTCTTTATCGTACACAGTCTTTACTTAAAACGCAATGTCTCTCATATGTCTTTCTGGTCATGATATTTTCCTTATGGCTTTCACAATGAGTTCCTTGACATTGTATGTATATTCATATTTACTTCTTATTTTCTTATTTCTCTCGTGTTTCTCTTTCACTGCTAAAATCGACAGCCGAAATTCATTATCAATGCCCGGCTTTATTCAATAGCAACAAACCGAGAGATGTTATGGACGTATAAAGTTTATTTATTCCACGCATGCTGAACTGATCTCACATGTAAATTGTATATTTTTTTTTCTTTTTTTTCATGAGATTTTCTCGCGTTGTCATCACATTTTAACACATTCTTCTTTTCACAATCGCCCGGAAGAAGAAGGAAAAAAAAGAGTAAAATAATAATAATAATATTATACACAACAAAAAAAAATTGAGTCTACATATGATCGCATTCAGCTGTGTGTATAGATTGAAATCAACGACATTTCCACTTAACTGCGAGAGAATCACACACAAAAAAAATGTTTTTTGATGACAATGAAAAAATATACATAAAAGCACACTGAACCACGCTCGAAATAGTTTATGAGTTTGTCTCCAATCATCATCGCGTAATCAGTTGATGAGAAATCCAATGACTCATTCGGTCTTTTTCTATACACAAATATATCGAGAAGAAAACGAATACAATCATGCAGAGATTCACATGTGTTTCTAATTCTTTCTTGTGAAATTCAGATTCAAAATAATTTAGATAAATTTCTGGTAAATCTGTTATGATAAAGATAAATTTTTGATATTTATTAATTCTTTTGGAGGTTTTCCCGCTTGGAAAATCTCAAATCATGAAATAGCGACCGAAAACAACAGATTTTTTGTTTATTCAAAATTTGATATAAAGAGATGAAAATGACTAGCACGTTCATAGATTTATTGCTTTGTTTTTTCTTCTCGTCTCTTATCACCACCATATAAATGTGTAAGACGCGCAGCTATGAAAGAAAAGAAAATAAAAAGTTGAAGAGTTATAGTGCTGAAAGTTATTAGAGGCCGTTCACTTATTACGTTCGCATTTTAGGGGGGAGGGGGGGTTTGAAAAATTGTAACAAAATGTAACATAGGGGGGGGGTCAATAAGTATGTAACGTTCTAACTGTCGTCTGTCTTTTAATTTTTAAATTTTCCACCTTTTTAATGATAAAAATTATGAACGTTCAGGGGGGGGGGGGGGGGGTTGTGAGTTGTAACATATTGTAACAAGGGGGGAGGGGGGTGAAAAAAGTCGTTTTTTTGCGTAACGTAAAAAGTGAACGGGCCCTTAGACGTTGAATTTCTGTTTTAAGATTTTCTGGTTTAATTTGGATCAGAGGCGTAGCCAGAAAATTTTTAAGGGGGGCCCATTTTCGAAAATTAAAAAACCGTTATTTTGTATCCTTAAATCTATATTCATTCTTCATAAGTTTAAATATTTAATTCATTATTCATACATTAAATTTGATTTTTCGTGCTGATTTTGACATTTCTTTCATCACTTCCTCTACATCAACTGGTTCTTCTCTATAAATACTGAATAAAACAATTATCAGATTTTCGTAAGGGGGGGCCGGGCCCCCTATGCCCCCCCCCCCCCCCTGGCTACGCCCCTGATTTGGATCTTCTCTTTATTACTGCATGTGGTTTTGATTTTATGTCATCTATTTCTGTAGTTTTTAATGGATATTCTTACTTTAATGACTTCTTTCCAACAAAAAACAAGGATTTTAAATTTTTTAAATTTCTTGTTTTTTAAAGGAAAGTTAATAAATTGCGGCAAAAATTTCCAATTCAAAAAATTCGTTAAAATTACAAAATATAAGAAAAACAGTCAAATTAGAGATATTAACTCAATTTATCCTAATCTTTTGTCAGAATGCGCTAAAAATTGGTCACGACTAAGAAAAAAAAACTTTTCAAATGAATCAAAAAAATATTTGTTATTTTTCGTGAGAAATAAGCTTTTCTCACTTGCTTACACATCATTTCTATTGCTTCACTTGCTATTTCGTCATTCGAGGAATCCGACAGAAAGAAACGAAGAAAAAATATTGTTGATATCACAGCAGAAAATATTCTCATTGTCCATTTCAATCGTAAATGTGTTAGTCAACTCGATATAATCTCCGAAAAAAAATCAAACTAGGAGAGGAACTAGTAAAAAATGAGCAAATCACTGTAGGAAATTTCCCAAATAAACAGTCTGATTTCATTTTCTCACTTAATGTGCTTAGTCGTTACGCAGTCTTCCTCTGTACCATTCATACAGCATTTTAAGCTGAGTGTATCAATTATTAATTTGTGAACAAAGTAAAAATTATTTAATGACATAACTAGTGCGTGCATTAGTGACTTTAATCTATTGTGAATATTACGAAATTTATTTATAATAAAAGACTTTATTTGCCTCGCGTACCTGAAAAAAAAAGATTTTCTTCCTTCTTTATTTGTAAAGTTGAATGTCATTAATTGAATCCAATGCCAGTGATAAATGACATACAACAGCATATGGCGTGTCGTGGAGAGCTCACGGTAATTGATAAATGATTTGCTTAAGGCACAAATAAAAAAATGTATAATTTCCAAAATAAAAACACACATAAGACTTGCTTGCCTGCACGGCACATGAAAAATTAGTGGAAGTGAGATGGAAAAGGTAAAGTCGAAAGACAGGAATGGAGACAATAATGCCAAAACATTTATTCGTTAACACACCCACAACATTCTTGCTATATCCATGTACAGTCTCAGAGACAGAACAGAACGAGAATATCAAAACTTACTGATTAAAAGTTTAAATGTTAAGACACGGCTCCAATTTTTGTTCCTTTCTTTCGTGTGTCCAACTCGGTGTAAATAATTCATAATACGAAAAATAAATTCGAGTATGTGTCATTGCGGTCTGACTACTGTTCCAATTGGTGTCGTATGTTATATTTATTCATTTTTAAGCGCTGATAATGAACCGCATTTAATCACACGAAGTTGGCCTTAAATAAGAATAATAAAATAAAAAGTCTGTAGGCTGAATTACTGTGCAATTAGTCAGATACAGTTGCCTATATGCGAGTATTTAAATTGACCATTCATTTGAATT